TTAGCCTACCTGCTAACTCCTGGATTAACACTGGCAACACACATCTTGAATATGCGCAGGTCTTGCTATTTCTTAGTTCTAACATCCCAACCTTAATTAAATACTAACTCTAACTTAATCCAGAATTCAGGATGTCTTACACCCACAGATTCATAACAATATTTTTATCCAATGTGAAGAAGAGAGGAAAGGGGGGGGGGAGGGATCTGTTGAGTTTTTGAAATGCATAGAAGCATATTACAAAGAAGATAAGGAAAATATTTGATGCAGGAAAATCAAAGACCGTGTCAACATTAGAAAAAAAGAAATTTCCAATGGACTGTCCTGGTGGTTAAAGGAAGAATGTTTGCAAGGCAAAGTTTGGGCACAGGTCAATAAGCTTTGATATTGATAAAGATTGGCAGACATTTACATTTCCAGCAGGAAAAATAAAGATACATTGTTAATTGTGTTAAACCTTCTGGGAGTTATATACAACAAGAATATTATTAACTTATGGTTTTACTCCATAGGCACCATCTCCATAGAGAGACTGTCCACCCCACCCAGAAATTTACAGAAAGCTTTAACTTGCCTGTGTGTATAGTTGTTATTTTGACCAAACTGCGGGAGGCAGTGGAAGACAGAAGTGCCTGGCGTGCTCTTGTCCAGGGGGTCACGAAGAGGCGGACACGACTAAACGACTAAACAACAACAACATAGTTGTTATAACAAACTAATATTGCCACAGCTCAGGAATTTTGGAACTAAAACATACTGCTGTTTCCAGCTTCCATGTAAGACCCTCAGTTGAGGAAAAAGACCTTCGTTCCATAAGGTAAGTCACTTGTGGCTAAGGATGGAGGAATCAGTCAATTTTGGGTTCCTATTTATCCCAGTCCTGAATTAGAGTTTGAGATTCAGTTTCATTCACTTCCTCGTTATCCCAAAATAGATGAGATACTTCTCTTGGTTATTTGATTCTAGAATGATAGAATTGTAGATTAGGAAGGGACCCCAAGGGCCACCCCATCCAACCCTCTGCAATGCAGGAATCTCAACTCAAGCATCCGTGAAAGGTGGGCCTCCAACTTCTGCTTTAAAGCCTCCCATAGAAGGACTCTGTTCTTCTGTCCAACAGCTCTTACTGTCATAAAGTTCTTCCTGATGTTTATGTCTTTTCTTGTGACTTGAACCCATTGGTTCGGGTCCTCCCCTCTAAAGCAGGAGGAAAAAAGCTTGCTCCATCCTCCATGTGAGAGCCCTTTAGATGTTAGAAGAGGCTATCAATTCTCAGTTGCCTCTTTACCAGGCTAAATATACCCAATTCCCTCAACTGTTCCGCAGCAGTCTTGGTTTCCAGACCCTTGATCATCTTGGTTGCCCTCCCCTGCACATGTTCCAGCTTGTTAATATATTTCTTAATAGAAATATCTATTAAGGTCATTTTGAATTCTGGATCTGTGTCTGCCGCATTAGCTACCCACCCACCCAGTTTGGCGTCATCTGAAAATTTGATGAGCACCCCCTCAATACCTTCATCCAAGTTGGGAATCCCTCATTCCTAATGATTCAAAGTTGGTGGATATTTCTCTGTTATTTCACTCAGAAGTAATCCCAGTCTTCAACTCAGTTTCTTCCTCCATTGAGGGCAAACACCTTCATCTCATGAGGAAGCCACCTGGGACCAGGGTTTGGTGAATCTGTCCATTTTCCTTTATCTTACTTCCTGATTATTCCAGTTCAAATTGCCCCATTCCCACGTCACTCTGTGATTTATTTTTTAAGCTCTTATGAAAATTCACACACATATCTGTGCCCAATTTGAATAGTATGCTCATTTGTGCTGGCAGTTTTCAGACACTGTATATAGGAGAACTGCACCTCAAAATTATGAGAAGTGGATATTTTGAAGGATATCTGCAATTTGTTTGCATATGGGGAATGGTTGAGGGACCTGAGTATGTTTAGCCTGGGAAAGAGGGTCCTGAGAGGACTAACCATCAAGAAGAACTTTCAGACAGGAAGAGCTGTTTGGCGGTGGAACTGTCTCCGTCGGGAGGTTGTGGACCCTCCTTTATTGGAGGTTGTTAAACAGAGGCTGGGTAGCCACCTGTCTTGGATACTTTAGCTGAGTTTCCTGCATTGCATGGGGTTGGACTAGATGACCCTTGGGGTCCCCTACAACTCTACAATTCTATGATTCTATTATTCTAATTCACATCAAAATGCAAACCAATTTATCCCCCATTCCTACTTGTAGCCCTACTTAGAAAATAGCTGGGCAGCCTGTGACCCTGCAGATGTTGCTGGACTCCAGCTCCTATCAGCCTCTGCCAGCACAGCCAAGAAACTGACCAGAGCTTCACTCGGTTTGCCTCCTCTTATTCTTGCCAGCTGAACCATACAAGTCATTTCCCACACCTTAGAATGTCAGGCATCTATAGATGGTGGTACAAAAATTTTCCCATTTTGACTAACAAAGTAGTAATACTACGTAATATGGTATACCACTCAGAGTGGCCTGGAGGGAAGGAGTCATGGGTTGTTAATAATGCATTCATTTTTTAAAAAAAAAAAACCATTCCCATTGTGTGGTTCAATATCATCTGGCAATCACCCTGCATCACTGTCACTCATATTCAGACAAATGGACTGTTTTATTGTTATTTACCAAAAGCGGAACCCCAAAGCATGGAAAGATATTCCTCAGGGGCCAGAAATGGAGGACGCGGCACCTCTCACTATTGGAGTGCAGCAGGGTAATTGCAGTAATTGTAAATGAATTCCAATTGTAATACAATAAAATATAATGTAAGAAACAAACGCAATAAAAATTTAAAATCAATTTGAGCATTTAACATGAAGGGTGTGTGCTGTCTGCCATCTTCAATTACAAATCTAGAGACATGTTGCAGATCACCTGAATGAAGCTCACGGACCACTGGAGTCCACTTTATCTGATGAAATGGACTTTTATCATGAAAGTCTATGCAATTATTGTTTTGTCTTTAAGGTATCACAAAACTTTTGTTGCCTCCCTTTTTTGCTGAAATAGGTAAACATAGTTACCCCCTGGAAGCTGTTGCCCTGAGAAGCACCTTTTGAATGCTACTTGTGCCTCTCAGGGTCATTTTTAAATCCAAGAAACACTTTAGTCAGTGGAGGCTGTACCTTAAAGCAATGCAAGAGGCAATTGTAGGATAACATGTGAAAACACACTCCTCCTCCTCTGTCTTGCAGGCCTTGCACAGCAGCAATGAAGAGAGAGGGCTGAAGAGGCCTTGGGGGTTCTAGGTGCATGGAGGGTAAGACTAGGATCACAGACAAGATCAGGGAGGGGCTGGGTGGGTATGGGGCCATGGGCTCTGATCTCCATCCCTTTGGGAACAACTCTCTCAAGTCCTTGCTACACAAACTGGGGGGAAAGGACAGAAGGTGCGGCTCTGTTACCCTGCTGCATCACACAAATCTCAGCTTCCCCTTTTGGAACAAGGCTCACACCCACATAATACAGGCAAAGCATTCCTATACCACTTTAAGAGTCATGTCATCCTGCAAGGAATTCTGAGAACTCTGCTTTGTTAACACTATGATATGGAGTTGGCAGAACCTCCAGAACAGATTTAGGGGAGTGCAGGGGAGGAGAAAGAGAAAGTTCCATTACCCAAGGAGAAATCCTTGTGTTGATGAATGTTCTCTGTAGTTTATCCCGGAGCCTCCAAGTGTCCCTGTTATCCAGGGACATCCCTAAATTAGAGAAGCCGTGCCGGTTTCTGATTTGATCCTGAAATGTCCCGCTTTTCCTTAGGACATCCCTATTTGCATTGGATAAATGTTGGACGGTATGGAGTTATCTAACCCCTGACCCATCTGAAGGCAATCCTGTATAGGGAAGCTTTTTGTATTGTTTAATGTTGTATTATGGTTTTATATATGTTGGAAGCTGCCCAGAGTGATGGGGGTAGCCTAGTAAGATGTGTGGGGTATAAATAGTAAAATTATCGTTATGAAATGGGACGTCCCTATTTTAGTCGGAGAAATGTTGGATGGTATGCATCATTGAATGCAGCCTTTGGTTTGGTGCATGTATCCCAGGTTTAGGAAACCTAAGGCCCATGGGCCACAAGCAGCCTACGGGGGTCGTTTAACCAGCCCACGAGCTGCCCACTCATGAGTCCCCGCGCACTTAGCTAAACTGGCGCAGGAAGGCACAGGGACTCACTTCCGCGGCACCGGAAATCGTGTCTGCGCAGACGCCGGAAATCATGGGCGCGGGCACACAATCCGGCCCACAGAGGGATCTCCGCTGGAGTGAACCAGCCTGGGCGGGGTAAACCTTGCCAACCTCTGATGTATCCATTCACCAGGCACTAAAAGGTGTTTTTACTTGTGCAAGAATCAACAAAGAGGGAGTTGACCCTGCGTAGAACTACAGTTAACAGTGAGTACTTCTGGCACTGAGGACTAAACTGCTCAATAGCCAGGGGCTGGACAACAATTATCTCCGTGTCCTTGAACCAGACACAATGGGCAGTGAAATTCCAAGGGGTTGTGTTCTTGCGGGAGCTATGCCTCTTCCATCACTACCAGCAAAAAGAATTGGTGACAGCTTCTGGCAAGACCTCACAGAACTCTCACAAGATTTCACCGCTGTCATTGCTGCTCCTAACTTCTCCTCTGGTGGGTGGTTCCCTACCTTCCCTCACCACCAGAGAAGCAAGGAGAAGTGGTTGTGGCTTCTGAGTTCTGGTAAGATCTCAGTTTCGAGATTATAAAACCAGCCCTGAGTTCTTGACAGAGACGTAAGTGAATTCATGGCCTTCTTTCGAAGCAGGCTTGATATTCAAACCCAGGATAGCCAGAAGCCCCAGCTGCGAGGCTTTTTTAAGGGGGCAGCAGCTGTGGGGGGCAAGGGGTGGCAACCCTTAACATTTTTGTCTTAGGCAATGAAGCAGGGGTGCCTTGGATGGGTGCCCTGTCATTAACCACAAATCTCCTCACCAATTTTACAGCTAAAGATGTTGCAGGAGAACCAAACAAGGCCATCTGAATTCCTGCTGATTGGCCTGTCCGACTTGCCGCAGCTGCGCTTTATCGTACTGGCTGTCTTCCTCTTCTTCTACCTCCTCACCTTGTCTGGCAATGTCCTGCTGGGCTTGGCTGTATGGAAGGATACCCACCTTCAGACACCAATGTACATCTTCCTCTGCTCCCTGGCCCTCTCAGAGACCTTTATAAGCATAGCTTTGGTGCCCAAAGCATTAACAGGTTTGGCGTCATCTGATGGTGTTTCTTCCATCTCCTTCCCTGGCTGCGTGGCACAAATGTTCTTTGCCTCTTCGTTGGCATCTACTAACTGCTTCCTCTTGGCAGCCATGGGGTATGACCGCTCAGTGGCAGTTCGTGACCCACTGCACTATGTGACACGAATGGGAGGACAGATGTGTACCAAGCTGATCTCACTCTGCACTTTCATTGGTTTCTGTGTTGGCGCTGGCATGACCACCACTGTCTTCCATCTTCCCTTCTGCCCAGGCCATAACCGCCTCCAGCATTTCTTCTGCGATATTCCACCTCTCCTGGACCTGGCCTGTGCAGATACACATTTTAGCGAGGTAGCCTTGCTTCTCCTTGGTCTGTTTGTTCTGGGCCTCCCCTTGTTTCTGATTCTTCTCTCGTACACATTTATCATGAGAGCTGTGTTGAGAGTTTCTGCTCCTGGGGGGCGCCAGAGAGCCTTCTCCACTTGTGGGGCTCATCTTACTGTGGTGGTCATCCACTTTGGCTGTGCTTCCTTCATATACCTCAGACCCAAATCCAGCTTTCAGCCAGACAGGGACCGACTTGTCTCTGTGAGCTACTGTGTGGTCACTCCGCTTCTCAACCCAATGGTCTACAGTCTCCGAAACCGGGAGGTTCATGCTGCCCTCAAAAAGACTCTTGGTCTCAAGGTTGCAGCAACTTAACACACACGCCCTCTTCTCATATATCTTGCTGACAGTGGGACATCTATTTTTGTTCTGTGTCTCCCCACCCCATGTCAGGATGATTGGTGGGTGCTAGAAGAGATAACAGCCCGGGACTCCAGCCAGCTTTACAAGATTTATCAAGTCCATTATACTATTTACAATCCGGAGCTCGTAAAAGCATGTCCTTCTTAGCCGAGACTGGACCCTCCCTTCGTCCTCTCCAGCACAACAACTTCCTGAAGCCTCCCCTCTTCCTTCCTCCCTTAAGCCCCGGAAGTTGCTTCACCCTCCCTGATCCATTGCTTCCTGACAGCCCCTCTCTGACGAGGTGCAGCTGCTCATTATCAGAGGCTGCTCTCTATATTTCCCCAGCGTTTCCTCCTTCTCAGGCCCCAGTTCCCTGACACCCCGGCTCAAACTCAATTGTGTGGGATATCCCACACTGACAATCTCTAAATAATTTTTTATTGTTTTCATAAAGAACTTGGAACTGATCTGTCAGTTTTATAACTAAATATTGAACTCATCTTTTGCATGAACAGGCGGAGTCCCCCCAACCCCAGGCGACCCCCGAGCGGAATAATGACTCAAGACAACGCGCTATGGGATTAAAATTGGCCTTAGCTTTATTAAGTTTCAGATAGGGAGACCTTGGCTCAGGCATTGGGCGTTTATCCTTCCCAGTCCCAGCCGGGGATCTGGGAGACTTCAGGGTTATCCAGAATGTGTGGGGATTGGGCTGGCTCTGGAGAACATATGTTCAAGCAGAGAGCCCCCCCTCCCCGTTTTGCTGCCGTTGGAGGGGAGAGCAATGACAACCTCTCAGCGTATGGCCAATGCTTCCCCTCAAGACCCCTTTAACGGGGAACCCTGGTATCACCACCGCAAGGGGGCCATGGATCACCACTTCATGCCCCCCCCCCATTTAAGAAGATAAACTAAAGGATTCCGCCCAAGGCCTGAAACCGCCACCCAAGGCCGCAAAATCGCAGTCTCGCTGCCAAGACTACCTATACCTGAACGGACGCTTCACCATCCGCCATCCGTTCCAAAAGGCCATGCCTAATGTCGCTCAGCCAATAATCATTACTGATGGCTGATAGGTGCACACCATCGGCCCTGAAGAGTTCCTTCCTGTAGATTTTGATGCTGGGATGCTTCACAACGAGACCCCCAATGCGCAAGGTTGCCAAGCGCAATGCCCTATTTATTCATTTTTTGGTGTAGTTAAGTCTGTTAGTTTTGAGGTTGCCACGCCATTGTAAGCACGGAGA